TTACCATGTCAATGTTACAGAAGAAAGAAAGGAAAGTGCCCTGAGGCACTAAGTAACTTGTGTAGGGTCTCAGGACTCTAGGAAGGGGCAGAACCAGAACTCAAACGTAAGTCTGTTTGCTACCAAAATGAGTTTTTCCCACTGTATCATATTGAATCCCTAAGAGATGACTTCTATCTTAACACCCTGGACACTCAGAAGGTATTGTTGCCACAGAGCATGTGGACCAGGATTATACTGGAGAGCATGGGTCAAGTTCTACCACTCACTAAGGCAATTTCAGCCAAATCCCATGCTTCAGTTCCTTTTTATCTTCAGTTGACTATGAGGGTTAAGATGAAGGATGTGAAAATTTAAGGTAGTGCAGCTTCAAGGTTAGCACCAGTTTTGAGTTTAACTCTTAGCTTTACCAACAAGTTTCTCTAACTTTTCTAAGTGTCTATTTCCTCTTCTGAAAAGCAGATAAATTCCTTTTATTCTTACATTTTTTTCAGAGGCCGGGTCTTGCTTTATTGGGTGGAGCACATGGTGCGAACGTGGCTCACTAAAGCCTCAACCTCCTGGGCTCAAGCAATCTCCCAGCCTCAGCCTCCTAAGAACCTAAACTACAGGCATGGGCCACCACGTCCAGCTAATTTTTTTGTAGAGACAGGGACTCACTTTGTTGCTCAGGCTGGTCTCAAATTCCTGGGCTCAAGTGATCCTTCTGCACCCAGCTGAGAACATGCTTACAAATAAAATGTTTTAATGGGCTGGGTGCAGGGGCTCAAGCCTGTAATCCTAGCACATTAGGAGGCCAAGGTGGAAGGATTACATGAGGCAAGAGTTCAAGACCAGCCTGGCCAACATGGCGAAATCCCATCTCTACTAAAAATACAAAAATTAGCTAAGCGTGGTAGTGCACATCTGTAATCCCAGCTACCTGGGAGGCCGAGGCATGAGAATCACTTGAATCCAGGAGGCGGAGGTTGCAGTGAGCTGAGATTATGCCACTGCACTGTAGCCTGGGTGACACAGCAATACTCCAGGAAAGGTGGGGAGGAGAGGGAGAGGAAGGAATGTTTGATAACAGGCTGGGCAATATGGCTCATGCTTGTAAACCTAGCACTGTGGGAGGCTGAGGCAGGCAGATCACCTGAGGTCAGGAGCTCGAGACCAGCCTGGTCAACATGGTAAAATCCCATCTCTATTTAAAATATAAAAATTAGTTGAGCGTGGTTGCGGGTGCCTATAATCCCAGATACTCAGGAGGCTGAGGCAGGAGAATCACTTGAACCGAGGAAGTGAAGGTTGCAGCGACTCAAGATCATGCCATTGCACTCCACCCCGGGAGACAAAAGTGAAACTCCATCATGAAAAATAATAATAATAAAAAATAAATTTTATATCACAGAGTTGGTGTTAGGGTTAAGTGATGTCCTATTCCCCAAAGGTTTATTAGCACACTGCTACAATTACTGTGACTGTTCCTAAGCAAGAAATATATTTTTAAAACTCATAACCAGTATCTAAAACGAAGGACGGGTGGAAGTGCTCAGTTCTAGAACTGGGTGGGACATAAACTCTAAGAAGTGCTGAATAAAGCCTCTGCAAATCACGGGGGCCAAAGCAAATGAAAGGTGGAAGCCTGTCTGGCCAAGGAACAAGGGGAACAGGGAGTTAGAACAACACTGAAAATGCTCACCAGAGCATACACCATGCCTGCCCCTGATGGACAGGGCTCACTGATGGTTGAAACCATAAAAGGATCTAGCACCTGGCCACATACCCCTGCCCAGGCACAGTGGCCCTCAGCCTGTTCCTTTCTTGAGGCCTTGTACTTGCAGTGCTCCCTGTCCTCATCATTCACACCTGCTCAGTCATGACCCTCTGGACCACCCTATTTCCATTATCATGCCTCCAAAATTCTGCATACAAAACACACTCCCATATTACTCTCTATTTCCCCGCTACCACTTATCTCCAATAAGTCTTATTGGTTTCCTTATTCAGTCCATGGCTTCCTTCAACTTAATATAAATTCAGTGAGAGGAGAGGTTTGTCTGCAGGGCTGGAATTGGGTAGGGAGGGGCACAAAATTCAAGGGACAGCCAAAAACCCAGTCACCAGGACAAAGAATATATTAATCAAATATTTTTAAAATATCAAAATGAATGCAAAACAAAATTCATGGTGAACAAAATATGAAAAGTTTCAATGAAGACAAAAACAGCAACAGCGCCTTGTCAAGCCATCCTGAAACCAGAGGCAAAAGGAAAGGACTCAGTATTACTAATCCTATCTTGGTCTAAGCTTTTTATATTGGCATTGTTGTTGCTGTTGTTGTTTTGGCAATCATTCTGACTTTCAAAATGCTATATCAAAATACCCTTTATTTTGACTGCTGAGTCTTTGGTGTCCCCATAAGTTTTGCCTGTGTTGGGCATCTCACTTGTGCCTCCCCTGTCCCATCCTTATTAGTGTCTTCTTCATTCCTATAGCCCCAGCACCCAGAAGAGCTCCTGGACAGAGCAGATGCTCGACTAAGTGTTCAATGAAAGCCTGAATGATGCCAGAGAGAATTCCTCAATCCTATAAGAAACTACTAAGTTTAGAAATATACATAGAATTTGAATATATTCTAACCACAAGCATTAAAGACAGCCTGGATCAGGGAAAGCACTGGGTTACAAACCTAACCAGTTCCATGATGGACTGGGTTTATCATCTGGGTGACTACGATGGGCTGAGCTGAGTTCCCCTAGAGTTCGTATGTTGAAGCTGTAACTCCCAGTACCTCAGAATGTGACTGCATTTGGAGATGGGCCTTTAAAGAGGTGATTAAGGTTAAATAAGGCCATATGGATGGTCCCTGATCCAATGACTGGTGTCTTTACAAGAAAAAGAAATCTGGACTCACACAAGAGACACCATACATGCACACAGAGGAGAGATCATGTGAGGGCGCAGTAAAAGGCCTCGGAAGAAACCAAACCTGCCTGTACCTTGATCTTGGAGTTCCTGCTTCCAGACTGTGACAAGATGAATTTCTGCTGTTTAAGGCACCCAGCCTGTGCTATTTGTTTGTCATGGCAGCAGCCTTAGCACACTAACACAGTGACCCACTTCAAACTTCCTTTCCCCTGCCACGGGCTCACTGATCCGCTGGGAGAATGAAGGTCCTGGAGAAAGCATTTCCAAGGCCCCTTCCTGCTCTGATGCTTCTTTAACTGCGGAAGCCTACACCTTTTTTAAACAGGCACAGAAATTATAAATGCCAATCTGGAGAATTTGGAGATGAGGGCATGGAATGCAAGTATTTTGCAAATTGTACCAGCTGATGAAATTAAAGTTTCCTTAGATATGTCATCGATAATGGAATCAAAGAATAACAAGTAAGCCCAAGTGCAGTGGCCCACGCCTGTAATCCCAGCACTTTGGGAGGCCAAGGCAGGCAGATCATTTGAGGTCAGGAGTTTGAGGCCAGCCTGACCAACATGGCAGAACCCCATCTCTACTAAAAAAATAGCTGGATGTGGTGGCACACACCTGTAGTCCCAGTGACTCAGGAGGCTAGGCCTTGAGAATCACTTGAACCCAGGAGGCAGAGGTTGCAGTGAGCTAAGATCACGCCACTGCACTCTAGCCTGGGCCACAGAGTGAAACCCTGTCTAAAAAAATAATAATAATAATAAATAAGACTTTTATCAGTTACTTACAACAAAAATGTGTGAAAAACTTACCTAATGATGTCTAATAAAATAAGTACTGGGTAGATAATATATGGAATATCCATACATACTATGTATAGTAGTTTTACACAAAAACTAAAACAGGGCCAGGCATGGTGGCTCACGTCTATAATCCCAGCACTTTGGGAGGCCAAGGCAGGCAGTTCACCTGAAGTCAGGAGTTTAAGACCAGGTTGATCAACATGGAGAAACCCTGTCTCCATTAAAAATGCAAAATTAGCCAGGCGTGGTGGCACATGCCTGTAATCCCAGCTACTTGGGAGGCTGAGGCAGGAGAACGGTTTGAACCCGGGTGGTGGAGGTTGAAATGAGCCGAGATCATGCCACTGCACTTCAGCCTGGGCAACAAGAGCGAAACTCTGCCTCAAAAATACAAACAAACAAAAAAACAAATAAAAACACTAAAACCAGACATTCAAAAAATTTTAGTTTACATGATAAAGTATCTTATGTAAGGATAAGTAAGAAAGACTGATATAAAACCATAATGTACAGTTTGATCCTAAAATTGCATATGCACACGTAATAGTTTTTACTAGGTATTCAATGGGTATGTCTGGGTAAGAACACTGGTGATTTTCATTCTTCATACATTTCTATAGTGGCCAATTTTTCTACAGTATGTATACTACACATATGTGAAGGTTTCTATAAAGTCTCCATGGAACGAAAATTCCTGATAATCCTAATATCTACATCAAAAAGAGTTATTTACATTAAAAGGAAGAAAAGATTGCAACCTGATTTAAAAAACCCTGCAAGGGACAGCAAGCCTAGAGCTCCAAAGGCAGTCATGCCTCGCTCTGTGTGGCAGTGGAGGCGAACAGGTAAGCCCCTATTGTCCATCCTTCTATAATTTTACTTCCTGGGAAATAGAGGTGGGCTGGCATCCCATGCCACTGTTAAGTGGGCTGCTCAACCTCCCCAGGAACTGTGAGAAAGTACCAGCCCAGGTGTGTCACTCCTGTTACAAGGCTTCCCACAATGAAAGGACTCTGCTATACACCCAATATACGCCCAGGATTTCCAGGAGCTCTATGCCTACTGAATTGTAACACACCCTTCATGGACAGCCTAGGAAAAGAGAGCCTACAGTAAGGGAGAGATAAACAAGAGTAGAATTCGTCAACAGAGCCCATACACAAATGTTTCTTCCTACAAGTTTAGACTGCAGATCTAGGGGAGTGGGCGATGCTGCAATACGAGAGGATTTTCCCAAAGAGGATTTTCTCCATCCTTCCACCTGCCAGACGTTTGGGGAAGACTCACATTTCCTGTAGATTCAGCAAGTCCTCAAAACCAGCAGGGTCAATCTCAGAGAGTTTGTTGTAACTCAGGTTTCTGGTAGGGAGAGAGAGAGAAAAAAAAAAAAAAAAAATGGAATCAACACTAGGCATCATACCCAAGATTCAGAAATCTCTTCTCCTGTCTCCCCAACCCTTAAAATCCTAGCCCCCACCCCATGATCATGTGTCAAGTATCCATATTGATACTGAGATTCACAGACATACCCCTTCTCCACCTACATCCATAAATAAGGCACTCCAAGCAACTCTGTGAAAACCCAAATGACCCGAGGTTGACTAAACCCAAATGAATTTCAATCAATATCATTTCACTATCATCAACTTTGAAAGAAATTCTAAGGTGAGCCAGTCCTCTACCTACATTAAAGTGTCCTGGTCCAAATGCTTTGCACCATATCAAGTCCAAGGCTATTCTTAATGGCATTTTTTAAAATTAATGTTTTCCTAGGCATCAACATCAAGCAGTAGTAAAGGAGAAAAGGGAAAAAGAAAAGAAACCCTTCGTTGTCTAAACCAGTGGCTCTCAACCAGGGATGATTTTGCCCCCCAGAGGACACTTAGCAATGTCTGGAGACAATTCTGGTTGTCGCAACTGATGGCAAAGAGTTGGAGGTGTTACTGGCATCTGGTGGGCAAAAGCCAAGGATGCTGTTATAAACCAGGAGGAACAGTCACACAGGAAAAAAGGGCCAGTTAGTTGTTGGAAATTCTTGTTGGTGTTAACCACAGGCAGGGAAAGCCTCAGGAAAGCAGCTTTCTCAAGATGATAGCATCTGTGTCAATGGTTCTGCATTACATCCCTCCCTGCTTTATAACCCAGCCATACCCTTAGAGGTGGAAAAAGAGCAAGCTGGACACTATTCCGTTAGGTGACCACAACCCCAACCAGACCAGCTTCATCTTTCACGAACAGAAGCCACAAAGATGTGATCCAAATGGGCCCTAGCTTTCTTTGCACAGAAAGTAATCTTTCCATACCTCCAAAGTCTAGCCCTGTGTCTGCCAAAGAGGTTAACATTTTTCATCTCAGCTATTAATTCCATTGACATTACCGCCAATTAACAGTACGACTAATTGTGAGTTTAAAGTTTCCAGTCCCTGAAAGTGTCATGTACATTGCAACAATCTTTTAAACTTACTCCAGAGACATTTCAATCAATACTAACCTAGAGCTGAGAGCCATTTCACTGTGAACTCAGAGACATTCATCTAAATAAAAGTCAAACTACACTTGAAACTAATGGTACTTCTGTATTCATGGTATGGCCTGAATTAAAAGCAATTTGTCCAGAGATTATGCTACCATAAAGATTGAAGGTGGTGGTGCTTTAAACTGCATATTGAACTCAAGTTTGAGCTTGTCTGTGCCTGCGGGTATTTATTAGTGGGTACCCAGAAATCCCAACCAATTCACAAATTGAGAGAACTCCTTCACATCAAAAAAAGGACTGAACAAGGCTGGGTGCGATGGCTCATGCCTGTAATCCCAGCACTTTGGGAGGCTGAGGCCAGTGGATCACAACGTCCAGAGATCAAGACCCTCCTTGCCGACATGATGAAACCCTGTCTTAAAAAAAAAAGAAAAAGGACTGAACAGACTGAGATTTTCTTCTGTTTTGAGCAGATTATTGTAAAAAGGGGGATGGAAATATTGTTTCTTAGTGTAAAGATATTGTGAGTTTACAATGACTGTAATGTATCACTATAGGTAACAGGAGCTGTGAAGCTGGAAGATATATTAGAGAAAGACTCAGAAACCACAAAGGCAAGAGCTTAGAGGACAAGCAAGAGAGACCTGGTGACCCCAACCGGCGTGTAACAAAGCTGACATGGAAGCATCTGCCACTCATCTAAAGGGGCATTTGCTTCTTGTTCCCCGAAACACGGGCCAGTGTAATCTCAAGCTTTCCAGAGAGGCTCATGATCTGAACTCATGATTTGTTTGGCCCACCCAGGGTTGCTTTATTACTTAAAAAGAAAAAAAACTTAAAAGATTTCACGTATCTGCAGGCCACATTTGGCTCGAGGACCACCAGTTTTCGCCTCTGATCTTGGCCACTGACACCTGAAGCCATTGGGTTCAAAGGGAACAGTGTGTTTCTGGCTTACACGAGGCCCAGGTGGAACTAGGGCTCACCAGGTCTTAACGCAATTAAACTGATGGCTGTGTTTGGGACTATCTGAAATGAGATCACTTCCTTCATTTCCCACCCAGCAAGTGTCCACAAGTCTTCAGCAACTTGGTATAAAACCATTTATGCCACAACACCATTGGGTTTGTCTTTCCCTTAAAGAGCAGGCAAAACGTATTTACATTTCAAAAATGTTATACAAATTTTGCTTTTTAGATAAGGCTACTTGAGCAAAGTGTCTTCCATTCCAGTACAATCAAGAAGCCTAGCAGTATCAGCACTTAACACTGAGAAGCCAAGAAGCAGCAACAAAGATGAGACACTCAGAAGTGGAAACGGAAGTTCTCACAGGGTCAGCCGGAATGCAGCAACTTTTAGAGTTTCAGTGAACTAGAAAAGCCACCTATCAACATGCAAGTGTTAGGGTGCTGCCCAGAAAGGGTGATCCTCCTCTCACAGCACCTGCTGACGAAACAGAAGACAGCCACCGAGGCTCATGTCCCTTTCTGCTGTGGTCAACAGGCCCTCCCGGTTTTTAAGTCCAAGAATAAGGGACTGAGATATGGAGCCAGCGCTGTGGACCCTTAATAGGTTGACTAAGAAATGAGGAAAATATTTACTACATTTTCCCCAAGGAACAACAACAGGAAATAAAATCTTCAGAGACACTTTCTTGTTGGCCCAATTCAAGGAGACAAACTCTGAGCATACATTTTTTGTGGGGGGAGGACTAGTCTCGCTCTGTCGCCCAGGCTGGAGTGCAGTGGCATGATCTTGGCTCACTGCAACCTCCGCCTCCCACGTTTAAGCAATTCTGCCTCAGCCTCCAGAGTAGCTGGGATTACAGATGCCAGCCACCACACACTAGGCTCATGTTTTTTTTTCTTTTTTTTTTGTATTTTTCATAGAAACAGGGTTTCACCATGTTGGCCAGGCTGGTTTCAAACTCCTGACCTCAGGTGATCCACCCACCTTGGCCTCCCAAAGTACTAGGTTTACAGACGTGAGCCACTGCACCTGGCCTGAGAGTAATTTTTTTAAATGTGGTAAAACACATATAACATAAAATGTGCCTTTGTCACCATTTTTAAGTGTACTATTCAGTGCCACCGAGTACCTTCACACTGTTGTGCAGCCATCACATGGTTGTGTCCATCTCCAGAACCTGAGAACTTTTTCAACATCGCAGACTGAAAGTCTGCATTCATTAAACACCAGCTCCTCATTCCCCTCTGTCCTAGCCCCTGGCAACCACCATTCTACTTCTGTCTCTAAGAATCTGACTACTCTAGGTACCTCATGTTGGTAGAATTATAGAATATTTGTCCTTTCATGACTAGCTTAATTCGCTTAACATAATGTCTCCAAGATTCATCCATGTTGTCACATGTGTCAGAATTTCATTTGTTTTTTTAAGAGACAGGGTCTCACTCTGTCACCCAGGTTGGAGTGTAGTGGTGCAATCATAGCTGACTGCAGTCTCAAACTCTTGGGCTGAAGTGATCCTCCTGTTTCAGCCTCCCAAGTAGCAGGGACTACCGGTGTACACACCACCACATCTGGCTAAATTTTATTTTTTTGGTAGAAATGGGGATCTTGATATGTTGTTGTCCAGGCTAGTCTTGAACTCCTGGCCTGAAGCAGTCCTCCCACCTCAGCCTCCAAAATGATGGGATTACGGAACTGAACCACTGCATCTGGCAGAATTTCATTTCTTTTTAAGGCTAATATTCCAATGTATCTATACACCACATTGTGTGTATCCATTCATCACAGAGGGCATTTGGGTTGTTCCTCCCTTTGGCTTTTGTGAATAATGTTATCAACACTGGTATTTTTTTTTTTTCCAAATTTAAAAAAATTTTTAAACAAAGTTTTTTCACGCCCTTTCATTGCTTACAGACAATACTCATTTCTCAATAATTAAGGAAATACACTTAGCCCAACAGCTCTGCAGAAAGGAGTGTGAATTCCCATCTGAGATTCCAAACAATCAAAGGGTTAATCAGTGAAAATCTTTAATGAGGCCTTTCTTTCAGGTGGCAGCTGACATGCACACACATCTAAAGCATCTCACTTATTTCTATGAACACGATTGCCCTGTACCAGGCCTGACATCTGAATGTGTCTTCAGTTGAAGGTTTCAGATTCTCCTGTCAAAACAATTCATCTGTCAGTAGAACAGATGCTGTCAAAGCGTTTCTGCACCTTCCAGTAGCAAAGAGGAGAGGAAAGAACCTCAGAGAATTTAGTTACTGCCAATTGCAGCTTTAATTAAACATTTTGTCAGCCATTGTCATAACACAAATTTTCCCTGTTCTTGCACAAAGGGTGCGCAGATCTCTGAACAATTGAGCCCAGCAATAGATATTCTTTCAGCTAATCTGCTGAAAGATGACCATTCGGCCCACCATTTGCAGATCACACAAGAGGCATCTCTGCAGAGAACAGCTCAAGTTTTATCCAGGCATCTGAAAAGCAAACTGTTTAACGTGCACAACGAGAGTCTGCTCACTGAGCGTGTTTCCTGACAAGCCCCCCTGCCCCAAACCCAAGGAATCTGAAGAGCTAAAGTCTTTCGATAGCTGCAAAATCGCCACCATGATCTAAAACCTGTGCTGTCCGACTGGGTAGCCACTAGCCATGTGGCTATTTACATTTGTATTTAAATGAAATTAAAATTACATAAAATTAGGAATTCAGTTCCTTGGTCACACTAGCTGTATTTCAACTGTTCAACAGTCCCGTGTGGCTAGTGGCTATCAAAATGCAGAATGCAGATGGGTTATTTCTAACAGCACTGAAATTTCTATTAAATTGTGCTGTGTCTAAAACACAAAATAATCAACAAATATGTCTAAATCGTGAAATAATCCTCAAATACTTCAAGTAAAATGTCACC